CCCATCTGCTCCTCGTTGTTTCAATCCCCTGGTCAAGGTGTTGTTCGATTTCTGCACGGTCAAGTTACTGCTACTCTTACAATGTGAGGTAGGCTGAGTAACGGCCCCCTAAGGATGTCCACAGCCTATTCCCAGAACCCTTTATTTTATCTTACATGAATGTTACCTTATATCACAAAAGGGACTTCGCAGCGGTCACGAATAATCTTGAATTGGGAGATGAGCGTGGGTCATCCAGGTGGGCCGTATGTAATCCCACGGGGGCCTGACAACAGGGACGCAGGAATGAGAGAAAAGGGGACGTGGCAATGGAAGCAGAGCTTTGAAGATGCTACGCTGCTGGCTTTGAGGCTGGAGGGAGTCAAGAGCCAGAGAATACAGGTGGTCTTCAGAAACTAAGGAAGGCAGGAAACGGATACTCCCTGGAGCCTCCGGAAGGAACCCGCCCTGCCAACACCTTGATTTCAGCGCAGTAAGACTCAGTTCAGACTTTTGACCCCTAGTACTGTTCAAATAATAAATTCACATTATTTTAAGAACTAAATTTGTTCCAGCAGCAATAAGAAACTGCTACACAACTCACAAGCAATCTGTGGGAGACATTCTAAAGCCACATATATATGATCCTTGTTAAAATTTCCTAAAATTTTACATTAGGGGATGATTCTTGCCTGATTCAGTCTTCACGGTGATCCCAAAATTTGATTTTTCAACTCCACCCCTCCCCATCCCACAACTAATTGTCATCCAGCATTCTAAGCTAGGCGAGTTTCCCATCTGTGTATTTGCTCCCCGTTTATTTGTAATTTGCTTTTCAGAAGCACTCGTGATTTCCATGTTTTTGGTGATGTACAAGTCCCTACTACGCTTAATAATTTTAGTACACAGACTCTTCTGGACTCTTTCAGTGGGCGCCAATGGCCAGGTTGAAACTAAGCACAAGAGGCCAGGATCAGGGCCTCCCTGCAGGCACAAGGGGTTAAGCAAAGCACTGTGACGCTATCCACAGCCTCTGCAGCAGAGTTCGATCCCTGGCTAGAGAGAAACCCACATGGTGCAGCAGACCTCTCCTGTCTCGCCCGCTGCTCCCCTCAGCAGTGTACTTCAGTGGATCCGCCTTTTCTGTTCTCCGCTCTGTCTCTGGTGAATCCTCTCACCCCACACACCTCTGGCCTGTCCCCTAGTTCTTGTATGAATAAATAAATCTTAAAAAAAAAAAAAAGAGTCCAGGATCAGGCCTTGCAGCCTGCCTCCAAGGATGTCTGGAACTAAGGGGAGACCTGGTGCAAGAATTCTAGCCAAGGGCGGGTGGGCAGAGGGGCACAAACAACAGACCAACTTACATTAGTGGCTGTGGATGTTACCTCGTTCCAATATCCTGGTCTGAATGCCATACACCTTCCTGATTTCTGCTTCTCTTCAGCCCTAGGGGACCCTAGGAAGGAACCCGAGAGCCTGGTGAAGAGGGCTTCCTTCACCAGTCCAGTGCTTTTGCCAACATGGGGTCCATGCCCTCCTACGAAGTGCCTACGACACGTGCGAGGCATCCGACACCGACCAGTGCCAGCCAGAGGGACGCGGTTGAGGCTTTGGAGCTTACATTCCAGCTGTTGGCTGGACTCGGGCTGAAGTCTTGCTTACCCCGCCCCCAGGCCACTTCAGAGCCTCCAGGTGTTACGTGGCCAACTTAGAAAACAAACTCAGGTGTGTTCTTTTTCCACCAGACACGCTCTCATTAGACACTAAACATTTAAACATGTATGGACAATATATACTGGGACGAAGACTAATAAAACTGAAAACACATCAGAGTCCTCAAATAACATGGTTTTGTTCCATATCACTTCCTCATAACTTGATGAGCAGAGAGAAATACAGGCCAGTGTTGATGAAACTATGCTAGTTGAGGGCCTGGTTTAATTGTACATTGTTTCCCTTAAAGTCACGTTTTGCTAAGTACCTATGGGCGATACTGAGGACTTCCACCTCCAACACCGAGAGTGAAGGAATGCCGGAGCTATGAGAGAAGCTTCCCTCGGCAGTGGGAGGAATGCCAGAGAGGGGATTTCAGGTATCAAATTTAACTCGGACGACTGAAAGCAGGCAAAGTCAGAACCGGGTGGAAAGTAAAGGACACAGAGTGTAACCCAAGGAGCCTGCCTCTCTGCAATGAACACGAAGCTGTCAGAATCACTTCGTGAGAACCTAAGTTGCTAACATCATGATCAACGAAGATGTAAAACTACCCCAGAGCTCCATGCGGAAAAAAGGATTTCTGAATGGAAGCAGAAACCATCTCTAGTAATTAACTCCCGGGTCAAAGCCAACATCTACAGCCAGTCTTTACCACTGTGGGCAAAGCCGACGTCTACAGCCAGTCTTACTACTGTGGGCTCCCATTTCTGGGTTATGGGGTGCGGCAACCTCCCAGAACCCCCTCTCTACATATTGGAGGGTTTCTGGCCACCAGACCTGGCCAGTTTCCCCACATCACCAGGGAAGCCCTGGACTCATTTAGGCCATTACATTCCTGTGCAGAGGGCCATCTTCCCCAACGCGTCGTCATCGAGGATTTGCTCAGACACAGCCTGGGGACGCTGGCTGCATTCACGAGCTGGCCAAGGTGTCTCCAGAACCCCTAGACACAGGAGATAAGCATACCTGTCCAGTCACATCTATCATTTGATGTCCCAGGGAAATCACGCCCAAGAGTATTCAAATCGCTTTCCAAAAGCACCAGGCTACTTCTTGCCTGTGTTCTACTGCTCATTTTTGAAATAATGACTAAAGCAGAAATCAGTGGAATGACCGCACTGGGTAATTGAGATTTTAAATGGTTCTGGCTGAAGAGAACTGATCTGCCAGCATTGATCTGAGGTTCTGACTGAAGGTTGAAGGGACCCAGCTGCCCTTCCCCACCACCTAAATACAAGGGAAGCAAAAACTATAGGACAGAAGTTCTTCACCATGGAATGCTGAGTCCTGAACGTGGATGGGGAAACATCCTTATCTTTATTTTCACTAACCTCTAATGAAATCTAGCCTATTCTTTAAGCATGAACATTCAGTGACAAACCATGTTAGCAATGGCCATTGCTACACAAAAGGAATTGGATATGTTCTTAGTGCATTTCAGTGGCTGCAGTTTGTTTGTGCTATGACTTCAGAAATAGGGCATTTGACCCATCACTACATGCAGCTACGGAATAAGCCATTAAAGTACAAATATTTAATCATACATTTTTGAAAGCATAAAAGGTTTCCTTGCAATCATTTTGCATATTAAGAAACATGTGTCTGAGGAGGCGCTACAGGCTTCATTCACCAGGCTGCCCAAGGCGTCCAAGGATGAAATAGTTTAAGAAGCCATGATGCGGGTTTTCACCTACCAAATTCAAAATGATAGAAGATGGAATCAACATTGTTACTAGCAAAAAACCTAATTTTGTTATCAGCCATGGGACCTGCTGGGTACATATCAAATTTTGACTGCTGGCCGAACCCAGTGACATTAACATCTAATTTACAAAGCTATTTCAAGACTGAGCAAGATGATTTAAATAAAGTGGTTTATTAACCCAAAGCACAACAATGTAAAAGATTATCTGATACAAAAAGACATTCAGCAATCCATGATCAGAGGTCATTTCTAAAGGCCACATAGGGGGGGCCTCCCTGGTGGGGCAAGGGTTAACACGCAACCTAGAAAGCAATCCACAGCCTGTGCAGCACAAGTTTGATACCCGGCCAGCCAGGGAGCTACCCACATGGTGCAGCAGACCTCTTCTGACTAGCCCGCTGCTCCCCTCAGCAGTGTACTTCGGTCAATCTGCCTGTTCTGTTCCCCACTCTGTCTCTGGTGAATCCTCTCACCTCCCCCCACACCTCTGGCCTGTACCCCAGCTCTTGTATGCATAAATAAATAAATCTTTAAAAAAAAAATAAAGGCCACATAGCAGCCTGTATCCAATAAGCAGCATCAAACTACAGTAACAGGTATCAAATAACCTTTTTGAGGACTGGTGTCTACAACAGTGCCATTCAAAATGCTATTCCAACACTGGGGTAAGGAGCTAGTGCTACAGTCAATCAACACTTTCCTCCTTCATAGAGAAAATCTTGCTGGGGGTGTGTGTGCGGGGGGGGGGGGGGGAGTTGAAGAAAACAAAGCACTTAGAATGCAAAGAATGCATGGAGGACCACAGTCTGAGTAGCACTACTCAAGTCTCCAATACAGGCCATGAGAAATCATCTCTTACACACACTTATACACACACAACCATCCCAGGAGTCACAGGAAAATAAATGAAATTTATCAATTTATTGAGACAAACGCAAGCCCTTATGTCAGCACCAGTTAGGGCAAGCAAGGACGTGGCTGTTCAGCTACACAGGAAGGAGCAGTGTAGCATTTTATTTTGATATCAGCACTGGCCTCACCCAGTACAATAACTATGGCAACCCACACTTCACCCAGCACTTAATCACAGTCAAGTAAGTTTTTACAAAATAGTCAATCCCATTATCAGGAGAAAGGAGCCTTTCTTTTTTTTTTTTGCTTTCTAGATTGTTGTGTAATTATTACAATTAAGATAACAAGGCATTAGTGCAAAGACACAAAAAGACCAATACACCAGAATATAGAGGCCTCAAATACACCCACGCATATATTAAAACATGATCTATAATGGATCTGGGTGGAATTTGATAAATGGAATGGGGAAAATAGCATGTTTTAGTCCTAAACCAATTTGTTTTAATTTTTTTAAAGATGTATTTATTTATTTATACAAGCACTGGGTACAGTCAGAAGCACGGGAGGGTGAGAGGATTCATCAGAGCCAGAGCAGGGTACAGAACAGGCAGACTGATGAAATACACTGCTGAGGGTAGCAGCAGGTGGCAGGAGGGGTCTGCGTGCCATGTGGGACCCTCACCCAGCGGCCGGGGATCGAACCGGCACTGCTGAGGCCGCGGGCAGCTTTACAACCCAGCGCTCAACCGCTGCACACCGGGGAGGCCCAGTAAACCAATTCTTGATATCTGGTGTGTTGAATAGAATTTAAACAACTATGTGACTTGTCTTTAACTAAAAAGTAGGTCTATGATAATAGGGTATACTGTTTTAAATCATAAAGGCGACCATAACATTCTGACACGACAGCCACTTTAAGTAAAACAGCAATGGCTGGATCCTAGAACATTTCCTTACAATGCAGCAAAATGTAGCTGTTTTTAGAGTTCAACTTGCAAGCTTTTCTTTTAAAATAATTACAAAGAGATGTTCAAAACAGGTAGCATCCTTTCTCCAATACAACGAAATGAGTAGAGTCAGAATTTATCATCACCCCAAATAAAAAAACATTTCCATTCCTTTCTTCTTCCCATACCCTTACCCATTCCCAAATGTATAGCATGTGGCATGGCACAACTTGATTTACCTCATTTCTAACTTTAGGCTCTTGGCAGGCAGGACCTATATGTCACCAGATTTATCCGTGGATTTAGCCTTGGCATCAAGCCAGTCTTCAAGTATAAAGTTATGCCTACAAATTAATAACACCATATTCAGGCATCTTTTCTAAAATGGAAACCATTCTATCAATCCAAAATGGTATACTAACAGTAACAGTAACCATTGTTTTCAATCTCACAGTATACAGAACCTTTGCAAAGCATGGTAGACAATTCCAAGGGGGGTGGGTAGATTCTTCATGTTTACCTATGCTGTTTTCAACCAAGAGAAATTTGTTGAAAGCCTATCTAGTTTGCACATGACTAACTCCTCTTATTCTATGTCGTTTCTTCTCCTGTGCCAGTCTAGTAAGAAACAAGAGGGGGGGGAGTAGACACACTCATTTTTAAAGGGTATCTATCATATACCAAGAACCTATCATGGGAGGAAAAATGTTCTGAGTTGACAAATATTCTATCTCAAAACAGGCACTGAATATTTCGTTTTTAAGGCTTACTGCAAATTCACCATAAATGAACCTATCCCATTGATAAAGCAAAAACCTTTCATATAAACAATACTCAGTGATTATCGGACAGCTCAATATTCAATCTTGATGTGGATTATTACCACAAATCCACTGCCACGTTGTTAGTTACATGCACTTTCCTCATGTTCGAGGTGCACGTCATGGGTCCCTCCAGCCAAATTTATCGCTATCTCTGCATCCAAACACCTTGCCCAAAATTCACAGCAGGAATCCAAAATGATCTTTATTCCACTTTTGACTTTCAACTTTATAGTGAGGCCAAATCGTTCCCTATCCTCAGGTCAATTTTGTAATGAAGAACTGGTGGATGTAATAGCCTGTGTATCATTTACCTCCAGTGGTAAATGAAGTCATTACTTCTGTTCAAAAAAGGCCCTAAGGCCATCCTATTATAAAGAGATAAATGGTACTGAGTGATATAACCAAACTAAAAAAAAGACCAGGAGACACCTTTGTTCTGTGAGATCAGAAGCTAGATGGAGGGGACTGGACTGAAATAAAAACTGAAATAAAACAGCACACACACGCACAATTTCTTTTGTGATTTTAATTGATTCATTGGTATTCTCTTTTTTTTTTTAACTTTCTTGTAAGCACCAAATTTTAATCTTTAAGTCAATTTTTGGGAAAAGAAACACCAACAAGAACTTCCCTCCAGAATAAAAACAATGATGTCCATTCCTCCAAACAAGCAAATTGAAAGGCTACCAAACAAACGAACGAACAAAAAAAAAAAAAGAGGCCCACACAGAAAAAAAAAGTAACAAAAATCACATTCTAGGGTTTCAGTGCATTTAGCAGCTTTCGCTGTGGTGTCTAATCATCCTTCAGCTGACTTTCAAAAAATAACACCCTAGCTCATCAAAATATACATTTTCCATTCGCTTTTTTTAAATTAAAAATAATAATTAAAAAAAGAAAACTGGAAGGAATTCACAATCAATTGCCTGACTTGTTTCGATGTCATGTATAGCGTGTGAAGGTCAGGAGGACCGTCTGCAGCACGCGTGATCAGAGCGAGCCGACCTTCAAGGTTTAGCCTTCTTCCAAACAGTGTAGAAAACCCACCTGGACAGGGAGTCAAGGAATAAGAACAGGTGATTCAAGAAGAACAGGCCTCCCCGTAAACATGTTTGCTGGCCTACCAATGGGAAGTCGGGTTGAGTTTCTGGCGTGTCTGCCCAGTTCCAGGTGATGCTGCAGCAGAGCACTACATCATTAACAACTCCTGGGGAGCTGTAGCAGGCCACACCCTAGAATCTCTGGGGGTGGGAGCCAGGAATCTGTATTGCTTTAAAGCTCCCAAGGGATTCCAATGTACAACCTTGTTTGAAAGACAACCAGGGCTTTCTATACTAACAAGCAAATGCTGTTTCTTCTTGAGACTCAAAATGCTAAACCAGCCTGGGATTCACTCAGCTGTCCTAGCTGGCAGCACAATGCTACTGTCAAAGGATACAATTCCAAGTATGAAGGGACACAGACGGTTTCCTTTGAGAATTCCACAGGACAATACAGGTGTCCGAGCTGTTCTTCATAGAGTGACAGGGCTTCAGTCAAATTGACACAGTTCCCCTAAATCAAAGAGAGAAAAGCCAACAATGGAGTCACGGAGTTCCGCTAAGGGGCCACTCACTTGATGGTCTCTACTAAATGAGAACAATTCTGGCTTTAGATAAAAGTTCACCTCTGAAAATGAGATAAGGCTTCTGTACTTTCACAAACTGCATTGAATTCTATTTATAGATCCATTAGCTCATTATCCTTCCACCTCATTTACCAAGCCATTTCAAATTATTGGAGTATGAAGCAATAGAAAGCAGTGAGACCAATTTCTCATTAGTGACACAGTCATTGTATCAACACCATGCAATTAGCAAAGATTCATACATAACCCATTCAAAATCAGTTTTTCCAATAATAGACACTATTGTGCAGAGAATGAAGTATCAAAAAGATAATGTTCTTGATTTCCAGAATGCCTCTCACCATGGCCCTCTGAAGAGTGTAAAATATTGACAAAGGATGAATCCATATCCTGTAATTTCTCCCCCAGATCCACAATTTACGGCATTAGAGGACAAAAATTTACTCAGGATACATACTAAAGCGATTCCCCAGTTTCACTCCTTACCAAATATTTTCTCTCAACTTCAATGTTCTAATTTTTCTCCCCTTCTTGCCACCACTTTTCGGTCCCCAGCAAAGAGATAGCGGGCATCTGCTTGGGAACGTTTTCTTATTCTGGACAATCAAGGATAAACAGAGTGACCCACCCCTTCAACTTTCTTCTAGCTTACAACCCAGATGTGACATTTGGAGTTGGAGCTGTAGCAGTCACTCTGTGACCATGAAGAAGAGAAGGTGGAGAGTCAGAAGCTGGTGAAGATACAGTAGAATTACGGAAAGAATTCCACATGGTCCTAGTTCTAGAAGCACTGCAGCTCTATCCCTCTTACGCATATGAATCACAGCAGATCTTGTTACAATGCAGACTTTCATTCCGTAGGTCTGGGTTAGTTTGCCCTCATTTTAGCAAAATTTTCTCCCAAGTGCTTTTCAGAACAGATTTAAAAGAATGTTATTCAATGCTATCTATTTCCTTTTAACCTCTGAAGTTCTTAATATTCAAAAAACTTTATGAGCTCATTCTATTTCTTTGCAAGAACTTCACTATTAAATTTGCCTCAAAATAGCCAAGAGCAATGTACGATGAAATTATTTACAAATAATGATAACCTGTGATGCAAATACTCCTGGGAATGGCACTACAAAAGCAACCAACCCGACCTGCCAAGGGCAAGCGGGAGAGAGAACCGTTCGGAGAGCTGGCCTCGGCAGCTTTAACTCAGCACATTCGCTCAGCATGACGTATGCGTCAGTGCCAGCCTGTTTAGTAACCCATCATCTGGGATCCTGCAGTGGATTTGGCCAAAGTGCCCTTCCCCAGCATATAATTTGGTTTCAACATCAAGTTCACCAGGAGAGTATATAAACACCACACATGTAATTTAAGATTCACAAATAGAAAACACTGCCCGGCTGTTTTTAGAACACACATCACCCCCGAGGAAGCTACAGGATGGCAATGCCACCAAGGCACACCGTTCAACGGTTTTCCTTGCCACCATCAACGCGACAGTGCACTTTTTATAGAGGCACATGGGAGGACCTCTTCAGACAGTGTGGTGAGGAAACAGGAAAGTTTTGATTAGTTCTTCCCCAACACTGTCAAAAAGCAATTTAAAAAAGGAAAAAACTCACCACAAATAGAGACCTACTCCAAAAAAGTAACGTGCTGCATTTCACATTCCTGTGTATTTATTTAAATGGAGCTGCTTTTTTTTAAGAATGACTCGTGAGTGATTCAACACACAAGTCTAGTAGCAAAGAAGAAAGTACCTAGTAAGGATTAGAGAAAGGGAATAATGGGGCAAGGAGAGGGCAACTCCTGAGGGTAAACCCCAATTCAGTAGCTTTAGTTCTAGAAAGTTCTCCCTAAAAGATGTCTGTATTGTTTCTCTGTCTTAAATTTAATAGTCAGCTTGTGTAATTTTTGTAACATAAAAAACAGGTCCAGAAGAATATATCCTGAAAGATACAACTTTTACCCATTTCAAAACGAGCGAAAGTATGTATGAGCTGGGAAATGACACATGTAAACAATCTATAAAGAATAGCTCAGAAATAGGAAAAAATTCACAGTAAGGGCGGGCGCCTCCCGGGAGGAAGCCAGTGCTAGGCAGCACGGGAGGGCCGAGGGTGCCGCCGCGTGCAGGTCCCGAGTGCAGGGCAAGGGGCGTTAGTACTGTGGCATCACAGCTTACACCAGTCTTTCTGTATGTATCATTTTGGTTGAAATGTGGAGCGGCGGGAAGGGGGAGGGAGGTCAAGCCCCAGGACCTGGCTCCTGGCCGCGCGAACGCCATTCTTCCAAACTCAAATCCCCCTGGCTCAATTCCCACCAATTCAAGACACCCCCAGCTTCGTGGCAGCCAGTGATACTAGTGACCACTGGGATGCAAGCACGTCAGGCAGGAACGTTTAGTTTTTGTCAGTCGCCAAATAAAGGCCCACCAACGCTGCCATCTCATGTCTCACCCCACTCCCAGGAGAGGGAGTGGGGGAATCACAGGTGTCTCCTGGGCCTTCCACAGCAGTTAAAGCAAGTATTACACTGATGACACGGTGGCAACTCCACTGGTACAGCCGCGTGTCCCATCCTGGTGGGCTTCTGCTTCCCCAAAGGCGACTCTGCCCAGTGCGCATGGCTCTCCCTATGGGGGGCAGCCAGACTTCCAAGGTGCCGTTTGACCCCAGGTATTATAAAACAGGATCGCCTTGAGTTTCCAACAGTGATCACGCAGGGACAAGAAACATGTCCTAACACATCTTTCAATACAGTTTTTTTTTTTAACACTTCTTAGAAACACAGTCCTGGGCATATAATGTATTTTTTTGTAAATGCTATTTAACAAAGGGAAGTTATCAAAGTCTCAATCATTCATATTTAAGAAAGGGTCATGTAACCATTTAAGCAAGCATTCATATTAGTTTTCCTCACTGAGATCACAGTTCCCCAAGAAGGCTGTCCACCAAGCAAATACTAAAGCTAAGAAACAGTCACTCTGTCTTCCTAATTTACTTGCTATCTACTACAAACTGGTTTGCAAGGAACCAAATTATTTTCATCCTCTGCCCGTTAAAGATCCCCAACTTAAGCTGTGAAAGATTTCCTTCTATTTGCAAATCTATGGGTGAGCTCTGCTTGAGAAATGGCCACTCATGGAACAACTCAAAGCCCTGAATCATCCAGGTTGCTTTTACACAAATAAGGGGACTTTGTCTGAGCAGGTTTCATTGTGGGCTTCCTGTAAGGTGTGATTAGCAAACTTTCTCTAAAGAGCGGAACAGAAGATGTCCCCATCACAGCTATTCGGGGCAGTTGCTGCAGCAGGGAAGCAGCCATGGAAGACAAGTCAGGAATGGCTGTGGCCTTGTGCCAAAGGAACCTTCCAAAAACAAGTAGGTGAGATTTGGCCTATAGTTTGCAGATCCCTGCTTTAAAGAATCAAGTCTAGGCTGTGTTCCCAAACACTCCAAAACAACAGGAAAAGAGTTCATTCACAGACAATTACCTGTTCCCCAAAAGCTTCTGGACAAGGCCTAGGATTAATTGCCAGTCTGGGGTGGGAGATGGGTGCTCCTACATGCAGGGGGAAGAGGAGAAAACCAGGATGGGCTGGAGACTAATTCAAGGTGTCTCCCAACCGTGCTGGATGTTTTCAGCATTATTGATCTCAGATCCCGTTAACTATACAGCATCTGGCTGAAATGCCCCCTTAGGAGAATAAACTTAAGACCTCTCTACTAGTTCCTGACATTTAAAAAAATAACACTTAAAAGGAAGGTGGGGTGGGAAGAGGGGAGGCGGGATTCTCTTGAAAACTGACGACGCGTCACAGGGACGACTGCCATTCTACTTAGGTGCTTGTCTTGTATTAATCAATGGATTTTTTAAATAAGTGGTGAGACTGAGTCATCAATTAAGCCTTTTGCTCATATTTTCAAAATTTTGTTTTGGATGTTTACCATTTTATTATAACCTATCAGGAAAGACAAACTTCAAACTTTCTTTTAAAATAAAGAACCCCCCAGAGAATGAGCACACTACAACTGGTTTCCACCTTGTGGCAGGAGCCCATACTGCAGCCAAAGCAGTGGATCACATTTATATGGGCAAGCTGGCTAGAAGATGATGGGGCAGCAGGAAGCAGGGAAAAACGCAATCTGTGTCTCCATCTGGTGACAACAGTTCATACTACAGTCAAAGCCCAGGGCTGGTAAACCTGGATGGTTGTGGCAACAGGACATAACAAAAATCATTAAGTTCCAATAGATAACAGGTAGATCACTTACTACGAAACTTACTGCCAGAAAGAACATTATCCAATTATGCTGTTCTATCCTTAAAGACTTAAATATCAAGACTACACATTCAAAGTTCAAAATATAAAATTCAAGCTCTGGTGGAAAATGGGTAGCCTACCTGTGTAAAATATTTCCCATCCTGTTTCAGTACTTTCATTGAGAGGTCAAGAATCAGTCTGAGAAATTCCCATGTGGAATCTGGATTAAAAAAAATTAAATCTCATAGATAAGGGATTTCATGCATCAGAAGCACAAAGTCAAACATTCACACTATTACTTCAATGATACCAATAGAAAGAACTACGAGTTTTAGGCTGAATATTTGAGCTTACTCATGAACCATACTGTACTGTCATATGGGGTGACATGGACAGACACACACACACACACACACACAAACATGGGCAAGGTCAAAACCAAATGCACATCCACTTAGCACTGTTCTCATGACACCAATAAAGATTCCACCCAAAGGCAGTGGTTGAAAACTGCAAGACCACCAGCTTTAAGAAAGGGCCTGCAGTGTCAGCAGGTGGGAGCCCCCAAACTCAGCAGGAAGAATGTCTCCCACGTTGCTTTGAAAGGTCACTAGTTTGTCCCAAGCAGCTTAAAAATATAATGTAAATTTTCAAAGGAGCTAGTTTCAGTGATTTGATTATGAGTCATCTTAGTTAATGTTTCAAATGACTGCTAATTTGCTCACTGAGTGGCAGAACAAGCCAAATCCGGTCATCTTTCCCCAGGGCCTCAGATTAACTACCTTTGAAAAAATGAAGGCACTTAAGTAGACAATCTCTAAGATCCTTTCTTCCTCGCATGGTGCCTAGAGAAACACCTCCATGAACAATATCTTGGTTAAAACAAATAAAAACGAGAACCTACCTTCTTCTGGAGATGTGGAGATCGGAACAGCAGTCAAATCATTAATCACATAGTCAAACTCCCTCCCTTCTTTGGCGTACCTCTTCAGTACTGGAATACAGTCTTCTATTAGAACCTTCCAGAGGCAACAGAAAAAGATGGGGGTGAGCCAACAGGCAGGCAGGAGGTCACTGGAAACCTGACCTGTATGGGGCCCACTCTGTGGAAATCGCTATGGGAGCTTGAGGGGTACAGCGGGGCATGTGGATGCCTGGAATTCCTATCCAGGTTTAGAAGGTGATTAGAATCAATAAGCTGGTAGCCCTGTGTGCTCACTTGAGGGGTACAGCTGGGTCCATGAAATGAGGGGGCAGTGGGCACTGCAGCCATGCAGATGTGGGCTGTGTTCTTTTCACCAGCACACGAGAGAGATTGCAGACTGCTGGGGCAGATTCCCAGGGAGCCCTGGGGGACCACAAAGAGTCCCAGGAGGAATAGACACTGAGTGTGGACTGGCTGTGCTAACCTGGTGGTAGATGCAAATGCTGACAGTGCTGTAAGACAGACCTGAACAGAAGCTATCGGACCACTCTGATGGCCGACTATTTCTTCAGACCAAAGAACACACTGCACAGCCCGTAATGTCAACAGCAGGCACAGGCCATCCAGAGTGGACGGCTGATAGAGAAGTGGAATGGGCAATAGGCACTGGTGGTCTGTTCTCTGGTGGAGGACTGTGTGTGCTTCAGTGGCAGGTGTGCTACACAGGGACTACACTAAAGGGGTTGACCCTAGTCTTCCAAAACACTGAGGAGGATGTGAACCAGCCGCACTTGAATAAAACAGCAACAAAACCAACAAACAAAACAGGGCCTCCCTGGTGACACAAGGGGTTAAGACGCAACCTATGAAGCGGTCCGCAGCCACTGCAGCACGAGTTCGATCCCTGGCCAGGGAGCAATTCACATGGCGCAGCAGACCTCTCCTGTCTCCCCCGCCGCTCCCCTCAGCAGTGTATTTCGGTCAATCTGCCCGTTCTGTTCCCCACTCTGTCTCTGGTGAATCCTCTCACCCTCCCACCCACACCTCTGGCCTTCACCGCAGTTCTTGTATGCATAAATAAATAAATCTTTTTTAAAAAACCAAGAAATAAAAAGACCCCCAAAAACTGGTTGTCGGGCCTCCCCGGTGGCGCAGCGGTTGAGCGCTGGGTTGCGAAGCTGCCCGCGGCCTCTGCGGCGCCGGTTCGATCCCCGGCTGCTCCCCGGCCACCAGAGGAGGGTCCCACATGGCGCGCAGACCTCTCCTGCCGCCCGCTGCTCCCCTCAGCAGTGTACTTCGGTCCTTCTGCCTGCTCTGCTCCCCGCTCTGACTCTGGTGAATTCTCTCACCCTCCCGCGCTTCTGACTGTACCCAGTGCATGTATAAACAAAACAAACAAACAAACCAGCAAACAAATAAATAAAGCATGCCTCTATTAAAAAAAAAAAAAAAAAAAAAAAAAACTGGTTGTCAAAAATGGAAGCATGAAGGGCCGGCTTATATGCCTTCATGATTGTGTGCTCACACTCAGAATGAACACGTGGGGCTGAGAGTGTCCCCACTAGACAGATGTGTGTTTTTCTGCAGGGTCTGGGGAAGAGGGGGTGGGGAAGGTGCTGGTACACTTTCTTCTCCACATCACCTCAACGTCCTCTATTGGCGGTCCCATGACAAGTGCCGGAATGGATTTTAACAGCAAAAACTTAGTTTCCTTTTCACCACACTCTTTCCCCCTTTTCTGGCAGTAACAATACCTTTGCAAACATCTCTAAGGATGTAAAGTTCATTCTGTGCCCTGCATTAAACTGCCATCTGCTGTTTCATGATGTGGCTGGTTGAATTTGGTCCTCTCCTCCCGACTGCTGAAAGGCAGGGTTCTTCTCGGCTGCCCGTTCACATTTGCAGTGAGGGTCCACTGTGTCACCCCTCAGCCCGCGTGAGAGCCCCTGCTTGCCTAGCAATGACCCGAACTTCTAACCACAGGAGTCCTGTCTCCCTAAGTTCTAACCACAGGAGTCCTGTCTAGAATCAGTTCCCGGGAAAGAAAGGAACCAGGTCACCAGCCAGGCTTTCCTTTAAAGGAAAATGAGTACCCCATCTTCCAGACACTGGAGGGCCACAACCCTTCAGGAGTCCTACCAGTGACCTAAAACGCCGTCACCACCCTGTTTTTCACACACACTTGGTCTTCATTCACTGTTCCTGGCTCACAACTCCAATGACTTAGAATTTTCAAAGTGGGCAGAGTGATAAAAGGGGTCTCTTGTTCTGTTAATGGGGTGACCTTTGGGGGAGTACCTAAGGATAAGGTCTGGTTGCTAGGGAAGCCAGTTTTAATAGAGAGCAGAGCTGATTTCCAGTGAAGCAAAATATATTACTGAGCAAATGAAATAATAAAGATTCCAGCAGGAGCAATGAACACTCCAACGCAGGCATCATCAACAAGTTTGCTGACTTACAGTCCTTCCCTTTCTAGACTCATGGCCAGGGCCTCAGCACTCTTATCTACAAGGTCGGGCAGCCGGCCAAGCTGGTCTCTCTCTCCAAGGCCAAACCTGTATGCCTGCATCTTCCCCCCTTGCCTTGCCCCCTTGTCGGGGGACTTTGCCGTAAATGGTTGCGCCTGCTGAGAAACGATGTTATCCATGTAACAGATCTGGACACAGTTGTGTGTAAAAGGAACCCTTGGTCTTTAACCGGGTGCTCAGACCTTACGGGGCTGCTCAGGTCTGGGACCTCACGCATGAGTAATAAAGCTTCTCCTGCCCTCCCCCTTCCTGAAGTACCGCTTGTTCTTCCTCTGCCTGGGGAAAAAGTAGAATTTATTTCTACAACACCAGAGGCACAGCTCCTTGGCCAGCTGTCAGTGGCTTTCAGTGTGTCCCCAAGAGCCCTTGAGGTGGGTTCACAGAACTGCTGGGCAGTGAGCGTGGACATGGGCGAGAAGGCACGAAGTATGCCTCTTCCCCACAGCTTGCCCCACATACCTCTTCCAACCGACTGTTCCTGAGTTACAGTCTTTGTAATAAACTGGTGATCTAGTGAGTAAACTGGTTTCCTGAGTTCTGTGAGCTGCTCTAGCAAGTTGACTGAACCTTTAGGTGGTAGTCCTGAGAACGAATTTTTTTGTTCACATTATAATCTACGTCATGTGTACAGTATTAAACATCAACATCTGTACTCACCACATTGAGTTCACCACTCTTCAACCCAACTCTGTCCCTCACTGTACAACTAGACCTCTTTACCCTGTTCACCTAACCTCCTGCCCACTCTCCCTTCCTCGTCCCCTTCTGGTCACCACTCATGCTTCTCATAGTCTAAAAGCTTATTTTTGTTTTATTTAGTTCTGGCTAAGAGTAAAAAATTTGGGAAGGAGGCATCACAAACCAGAAACTGGAGGTGGAGGTAGACATGATCAACAAGGACATTAAACAAGCTATAGAAAAGTAAAGTGAGCACATGAGGGGAAAAAACCTCCTAGTCTGCCTTTATCCAATCACTTGAGCCAATTCACATTAATTCAACTTGCTTTCTAGATTTTCTAAGGAGTCATATTTCTGCAAATAATTTGATTCTTTCTAAAATTATACTGTTTCATTCTCCTACCATACTGTATTGGATAATGCCTCAAAAACAATGTTAAATAAAGCTAATAATAAGCATCTCATTCTGTTCCTAATTTTAGCGGAAATGCCTTGTATATTGGCAATTTAATATAACCTTGCCTTTAGTTTTCACATAGTTTCAATTATTTAGGTAGTTTCCCCTCTACCACAACTTTATTTTACCTAAAGAGTATTAAGAATGATTGCTAGAGGGCCTCCCTGGTGGCACAGCGGTTGAGCACTGGGTTGTGAAGCTGCCCGCAGCCTCTGCAATGCCAGTTCGATCCCCGGCAGCTCCCCGGCCACTGGAGGAGGGTCCCACATGGCGCGCAGAACTCTCCTGCCGCCCGCTGCTCCCCTCAGCAATGTACCTCGGTCCTTCTGCCTGCTCTGCTCCCCGCTCTGTCTCTGGTGAATTCTTTCACCCTCCCGCGCTTCTGACTGTGCCCAGTGCTTGTATAAATAAATAAATAAATCTTTTAAAAAAAAAAGAATGATTGCTAGAGAGTCTCAAATACTTTGTCATCCGGTAATATTACTTTCTCCTCTATATCATTCACATAATGAATTATGCTGACAGGTTTAAGATATACGTCTTTGCATTTCTTTTTTTCTTCCTTTTCTCCTTTTCTAAACATTCAAAATATTTGTGATAAAAATATATACATATAATACATTAGGAAAATATAAGATATCAAGATAAAAAAAATCATAATATGACCTTCCATTAAAATACCACTAAAGCCCAAGACTAGAGTCACATCCTGACACAGCTCTTGTCCTGGTGTGCTAGAGTTCTCGGACAGAATCTGCTGGTCTTGATTCACTGGCAAGGGCAATCAGTGGGCCTGGTAGTGCCCAGGTCAGAAACATGACCTTCCCCTGCATGGAGAAGGCTGATAGGCTTATCCACAGCAGGGCTGGTAACTGTTGTAACATAACTCTTTTCTCTGTTCTAGTCTAGGGCTACTACAAAGTTCTGGGGAAGGGAAAGCTTCCAAAGCAGCCTGTGATTGTCAGTAGAAGAGCTGAGAAGATTAAGGGTGTGGGAGGGGCCTGTGTCCTGGTAGCCTGAAGCCACTTGGAGGAAGATTCATTAAATGCCATAAGTGCTTTTCAAAAAAAAAAACCCACTGAAGTGTTTGACAACCTTTAAATTGTTCTATATTTTTTAATATAAAAACCCTATAAGAACATTTTCTTTCTTTTTTTAAGTAATAACTTATTTTTTTCATTGTGGTTACATTAGGATTCTCCTCATTAGGAATCGCCACCATAGGGTACCGCCACCAAATCACCCACAGCCCATCACCATCATCTTTACGTTTCTGAATGAAATCTTTCTCAGATGTTAATTCTTTAAAGATTTTTTAAAATTTAATATTTTAATTTATTATTTTACATGGAAATCTTATAAATCAGTAAAAGAATTTTTTTGATTTTTCTTTTTGTACTACATTAATGATTTTAGTATTATGATTATTTTCTCACTATAAAAGGAATGCAGAATGCTTTGTAATATTTTTGATTTCTTAAAAAATATTAAGAGGTAGTGATGTTTTTCAAGTGACACACAGTTGCAAAGCCCTGTGGTTTTTTAAATAGGAGCATTTTAATGGCTTAGGAGCTTGCCTGCTGCTCCCCCACAGACCAGAACTCCCAACCCCTTTGGGAGCTCCAGGAAACTATCTACAAATTCTCCAGGCTCCCCCTGGTGGTTGTTCTGCTCCAGAAAGAAAGCAGGAGAAAGGATGCTTGTGGGTACCCAATTTCACAAGGTTCTTTTCAAATGAAACACTCCTTCTTCCCCTCCGGAAAATGCTGAATTGTCACCACCTGCCCTTGGTGCTTGGCTTTCAGATGGACCAGCCAGTCAAGAGGTTGTGGCCCAGGGCCATTAGTAAAACTTCCCACTTACATCCATCTCTAATTACAACAGCCTACAAGTCCACAGTAATGCAGGTTTGGATTTGAAGTTCTGTTTTTTTCTTAATGCATATAAGGCAGTCCTAGGAGACAGTGAGTTGGGGTCACTTCTGTAAAGTTACCCTCTAGCATGAATAAGTTTCCTTTAAACTCTGTCAACTTAATCTTCATCCATAAAATAGAAATAATACACACTTGGTAAATCTTCCAGTATTAAAACACTTTAGGCAAAGGTTAGGCGAACAATGCAAACATTTGCAAACAATAGCAATTTGTAGTTCATCCAGAAACAGATCTATCACGCTACTCTCTCCTTCCTTTTTAAACTTTGAAACAGTCTCCCAAGTCATCTTTTTTTTTTACTTTTATTTTTTATTTATATATATTTTACATCATTGTTCATTTTTCAGCAGTGTTTGTTCCCACCCCCACCCTGTAGAACTTGTAGTTCCCTGTAGAACTTGTAGTTCCCTGTAGAACTTGTAGTTCCCTGTAGTTCCTGTGAGGAATGCCTGTTTTTTGTTTTTGTTTTTTAAGATTTATTTATTTATTTATACAAGTACTGGGTACAGTCAGAGACACGGAAGGGTGAGAGAATTCACCAGTGTCATAGAGGAGAGTAGAAGAGGCAGAGTGATGAAGTACACTGCTGAGGGGAGCAGCGGGCGGCAGGAGGGGTCTGTGCGCCATGCGGGACCCTCCTCCGGTGCAGCCGGGGATCGAACTGGCGCTGCAGAGGCTGCGGGCAGCTTTGCAACCCAGCACTCAACCGCTGCGCCACCAGGGAGGCCCTCCCAAGTCATCTTCAAACACCACTTTGCCAGGAAAATTAACTGGATGCACACACTTTGGGGGGGTGGAGCATAAATGATTTATATGTCAACAAAATGAAGCACTCCTAAATTGTTTACAAATCTGGGTGTGCACATTTAAGATATGATTCAAATAAAATGTACTTGCTTAGGTATTTTGCTCAACAATCATTATAGGCACACGCAGCCTCAAAAAACAATACAAAATGTATCTTACAAACTACAGTGATCAGTCAACATGCAAGTAAGACTTAGGACAGAAACTAATTTGCTTAGTGAGAAACAACAGTTCCTGTATCAGGCATTTTAATCATCTATACCTTCTAAGCATCTGCATTCCTCTGAAGGATCCAGACACAGAGATTATTTAGGGTAGAGAGACAAAAGGTAACGGGCTGCCAGGTCATAGAAAGACATGCCATATTTTATAAAAGAATAAATTAATGTCATTAAATATAGAATCTAAAGTTGGTGGTTTACTATATTACACCAAGCCCCTCCCAAAGAATATTGAGGAATCAGCTGAACAGGGATAGTATTTTACTATTTTGAACACTGGAGTGGGGTGGGAGGGGCGGTGCAAATGCTGGGAGGGGCCTTTTCTGAACTCCCCTAGAGCTACATCAGGACAGAGCCATCAAGACAGAGCCAGGGGCATTCAACCTGGAAATAAGGATTCTTACCAGGATAGGAGAGAAGTCATCAGCCCTAACAACTTTGCTACAAACTACCACACCTCCCATCCAGTCATCACAGGGCTTATTAAACTCCATCCACTTTTCCTAGTAAGATATTAGTTGAGCCTAAATTCTATGTCTACCTCTGAGTTGTTACCTTTTTTCCCTGAAGATCTCCCATGTAGATATGAAGCATACATGTTAATAACATACATGTTAATAAAATGGTTTTCTCTTGCTAATCTCTCTTCTTACAGGGTCTCAGTCAAGAATGAGTAGAGTGAAAATTAATTTTCCTCCCTTACAAGAAGATCTATTTATTTTCTTAACTATACTTAGGATTTTCTTAATTATACTAATTATACTTAATCATTAAAAAGCTGTTTTCAAGGTATAATTCCCATGAATAACATTAATTATATTATCAGTGGACTTAAACAGAAAATTATGTGGAAAACAATTACCTGATAGCAGTCTCCTTTAAGATTGTCTAAGACGTCGCCACACGTTTTTCGCATGTATTTCTTACATCCATCAATCACCATTTGGTCAATGTTCCCAAGAGGTTAAGGAGAAACTTATTGTGAATCTAGATGCAACCAAAGAATTCTGAAACAGTAATACTTTAAATGAAAGGTTAACACAAACAAGTTTTAGAATATTCATTGGCCCATCACAAGATTTTTTTTTTTTAAATGAGAACGTTTTCTTGCACCAATGACACTCAAGAGGAATCAGTTTTCAGCAACTGCTGAAGAGAAGACACCAAACCCGTGCTGTGCCCAAGTCACTTGTACTTTTAATTTTCAAGTAGATTCTCTGTTTCCTTGTTGGTGGTCACACAGAAAGGCTACTGATAGGTACTAAACTCAGTGTTTGCTGAAGGAAGTTTTCATAACATGTGCCTCGCCTAGAGTCTTCAGGGCCTCCCCGGTGGCGCAGTAGGTTGAGTGCAGCGCTGTGAAGCTGTCTGCACCCTCTGCAGCACGGGTTTGATTCCCAGCTGGCCAGGGAGATTCCCACATGGTGTGGCAGATCTCTCCTGTCACGCCCGCTGCTCCCCTCAGCAGTGTACTTTGGTCCTCTACCTGTTCTCCCCACTCTGTCTCTGGTGAATCCTCTCACCCTCCCGCGCCCGTGGCCCGTACCCCAGCTATTGTGTAAATAAAAAACAAATCTTAAAAAAAACAAAAACAATAGTCTTCAGACTGAAGAGGAAGAAAACAAAAGCAGCCCACAGAGCGTCTCTTGCAGACAAAGGATATCTCTACCATCGTGACCATCTTTGGTTTCAGTTTGACTATTTCACATAATATGCCCCCATCTCCACCTCCCAGAATCAGAACGTCTTTGCCAGTGTAATCTTCTTTGCCACTGCCCATGATGGCCCGTGTATACGCCAAATCACTCTCTGCCAAATCTAGGGAGGAGAAAGAGATCCAAAAATGGTGAGTCAACCCAAACCCACACACTACCTGACTTGGTAGAAAGTACTAGAATCTACCCCAAAATTCTTTAAAAACTTTTAACAATGTGCAAAGTTGTTTTGTTTTTTTTTTTTTTTTTTTGGTTTGCAGAATTTTTATCAACCCTACTGATCCAAAACCTATTATTATTTACACACACACATAATCAGTGGGGAAAAGTCATTCTTGCAAATATTCTACTATGCTCAGAAATTGAAAGCAAATACATCTTTCCAGATAAAGTAACAGGACTTTGAGAATTGCTTCAAAATGAGTGAGAAAGTAGACCAGACTTCAGAGAAAACAAGATTGCCAAGGGCTTGATAATGGCTGGTGCTTGAGGGTAAATAGACATTGTTTCATCATATTATTTTTTCATCCCAGGTTTGAAATTTTCCATAACAAAAATTTTTCTTAAAAAAATAAGCAATTATATTTCCTTCTTAATATATCATCCAAAAAATCCATAAACCACTCCAAATAATTAAGAAATTAAGAAAAAGTAATGTTAAGACAAAGCTTTCAGGCCTCCACTATAAAACATGAAGGCCCAGAAAATCCACAGGTTAAAGATGCAAATGTTCATTTCAAAAAAAAAAAACTGCTGTGCCAAAGATACACTTGGTGAAATCCACTACAGGAATATTTACCAGGAAAGCACTATAATATGTCATCACTTTGTTAAGTCATTGGGGTATCAATGGAATACTTACTGACATCCCCACTAAGGATGAGAATATTCCCAAATTGCTTCGAGTGCAGGATTTTGATGTTCTGATATGGCGAGTCTTCATCATATACCACTTCATCTATGTCATACTCAACCAGGCGGCCATCAGCAGTGGGCCAGTATCTGTCTATAGCCCCTCCACGAACTATGGGTGGCAATCTGGAGGGAAAAAAAAAAACAGGAAGGAGACTTAGAAGAATGTTGCTTATGGAGAGGCTGCTCAGAAATGGACCTGGGAGCAAGAGGGCACAAAAGCCACATGACCCAGACTGAGTCCTGAACAGTACATGACCTACCTGGAGCCTTGGCTTTTAGGGCCGTACATGGACACCAGTGCCATACACCAGTTACTTTTCTTTTCTTTTCTTTTTTTTTAAGAAAAGATTTATTTATTTATGCATATAAGAACTGGGGTACAGGCCAGAGGTTTGGGGTGTGGGGTGGGTGAGAGGATTTACCAGACAGAGTGGGGAACAACACAGGCAGATTGACTGAAATACACTGCTGAGGGGAGCAGCACAACGGGCAAGTCAGGAGAGGTCTGCTGTGCCATATGGGTAGCTCCCTGGCCGGGGATCGAACTCGCACTGCAGTGGCCGTGAACAGCTTCGTAGGTTGCATCTTAACCCCTTGCGCCACCAAGGAGGCCCACATTAGTTACTTTTCTTAAAAACCTTCCTGCAATGCTCTAAATTTTCAACTAAGAGCTAAAGAAAACAGCCAGTGGCACAATCACACTTCATTCCCAAATACCTGGGCAAGATGGCTCAGGATGGTGCACAAAAGCACACTGCCGCTTGGCTCTAATGCCTCTACGTAGCACAGAATCCACATTCAAGTGTTCCCAATTAGTCCCATGCCTACAAGCTGTTCTACTTTTAAATGAAGTTTGCCTGAGGATCTTTTCATTAGTCAGGCTGTCACAGACAGTGGCAGGTACCGCATCAGGGGCCCAACATGTGTGCCCTACCACTGGGTGCCAAGTATGACTACCCGGTTAGATCAGATGCCATGGGATCACTACATGTGCAAAGGGCCGCTTTTTCCCTTTGAAATCATTAAGTAGTCTGTTGGGGGTTGCCCAACAAACCTGGTTCCCCAACAAATCTGCACATCAGTGCCTTTGATGTCTGCAAGATTTGTTCCTGGGGCCTCCCTGGTGGCGCAGCAGTTGAGCGCTGCGCTGCGAAGCTGCCCGCAGCCTCTGCAGTGCTGGTTCTATATCCAGCCACCGGCGAGGGCCCCACAAGGCACGCAGACCTCTCCTGCCGCACCCGTTGCTCCCCTCAGCAGTGTACTTCGGTCCTTCTGCCTGTTCTGCTCCCCGCTCTGGCTCTGGTGAATTCTCTCACCCTCCCACGCTTCTGACTGTACCCAGTGCTTATATAAACAAATAAATGTTAAAAAAAAAAAAAAAAAACGATTTGTTCCTGAACCAAGTATTACTTGATTGGCTGCAAATGGATGATTTTCTCTTTCCATTCTTTGGTAAATGCTCAGTCTTTTTAACAGGATGAATGTACTAGGAACTACCAGCAGAGGACACTAAACAGTAGGGGGAAACAGACCTAGAAAGAGGGTTGGCAAATCCAACCTGAACACAAAATGAGGACGTTGCACACACAACCACTGCATGCAAGTCTCATGTCTCAAGCACGGGGGTGTTGACAGTAAAGCAGCCAGAGACACTTAAAAGGCCAGGTAACCATCCCTGACCTGCTCTGCTGAGTCCCCTTCCTGCTCTCCTGTTCCCAAGAGTATGGTCTGAACCTGTTCGAAGTTAACAGAGTTTTCTATCAAGAAATACTAGGATCCATAATAAGCACTGAGATTTACCAAGCAAATTCCCATAAACTCTCGTTCAATCCTAACAGCTCCTGGTATAACCACTTCATCTTTCAAGCTGCTGGAATAGAAGGCAGACGAGTTCTTCTGGCAGAATGTGGGACCCCAATCAGGGCAGCCCCCAAAGAGCAGGCCAATAGGTCTGCAGTAGAGCCTATTCCACCCCTGCCCAATGGGTGGTGGTCGGAGTGGAGTGACATTGGATGAAGGTGACACATCAAGTCACTGGCTCTCCGGGAAAGAACCTGCCCCCAGGGACCTCCCTGGTGGCGCAAGGGCTAAGATGCAGTCTATGAAGTTATCCGCAGCCACTGCAGCATGAGTTCGATCCCCAGCCGGGGAGCAACCTACATGGCACAGCAGACCTCTCCTGACTCGCCCGCTGCTCCCCTCAGCAGTGTATTTCAGTCAATCTGCCTGTTCTGCTCCCCACTCTGTCTCTGATAAATCCTTTCACCCCCCCACACTTCTGGCCTGCACCCCAGTTCTTGTATACATAAATAAATAAATCTTTTTTTTAAAAAAAAAAAGAAACTGCCCCCAGCCTTGACACAGGTAACTACTGAACTGTGCACAGGCCCACTGGAAAAAAACAATGCCCATTCTCAAGTGTGCCAATGGGGCCTTGGCTAAGGGAAAGAGCTCGCTCCTCAACTGCAACACAAAGGTTTTTAAAGGGTGGTATAGAACAAGGGTCTCTCACGGGAGGGGAAGCCAGTCATCTCAATGAGGCACCCCTCCTAGCACACAGTGCATTCCCCCGACAGGCTGAGGAGATAATTTGGGAGTGTCAGGGACTCTTGCTTCATCCTTTTCTGCTGAAAATCGAAATTGGGTTCTGCCAAAGTCAGGCACATATCCTGGGGCTCATGTATACTGTAAACAGTCAAGAAATGTTTTCATTTTTCTTTTAAAATAAAATGAATTTATCTGAAGTGAACTTGTTTTCCTCCTGTCTTTTGCAAAGGGTAATTTTCTAATAAATCCCATGACTTAGTTGAAAGTTCATGTCTAAGTCACTGGCCGTGAAGGGGTGGTATCTTCACATGTTGCTGGCACATTTGCTAAAGGCTGACTCGGTAACCATCTTATTCCCCAGAAAAGTGGTACCATTTTTGTTCTTTTGAGCCAATACCAAGTGACACTCAAACTATTCCCAATTTCTTGTCCCCTCCCACCCTGAATTTATAAAAAGACACAAAAATCAATGACAAGCAAAAACCAGATCAGCATTGGGTTGAAAATGTAAAGCTCAATTCCACTCTCACTTAGCAAACTTCTATACCGAAAAACCCAAGTGAACTAGACTTCTCACGAATGCCAAATCCCACATATATACTCCCCATCCATTTACTCACTCCAAGTAACCCCGATAAAAATCTGACCAGCAAAATCAAAGGTGTTTTGCTGTGACATTATCATGGAGTTAAGACAACTTAACACAAGAGAATGCTCAATTCAAGGGGGAACAGATAAGGAAAACTGCAAACAGGACAAGGTGGACTGCAGAAAGAGGTGTGGGGGTGGCTGTGATTTCTGAAGGTTAGGGAAGAGGCTGGGGCCACCTAAACTGAGCGTGGGTGGGGTAAACAAATGTGGGTGTTCTGGCACACTTCACAGAAGCGGGCAAGTCCTGCACTGGGCCATGTTCTGCTTCCTGCCCTACGTTAAACAACCTTCCAGTTATCGTGTATCTCACATCTGCCCTAGAGCTGATCAGATTTTATGTACTGTGCCTTGAAGTACTTAAAACATCCTTGCTCTTGCCAACAAGGATATCCCTTCTGGAAAGTGATCAACTAGAGCAATCTGTGCTCTGGCCACTTGGGTCCACGTTGGAGTGACCTTGGTAAAGTCCCTCCGCGCCTGCATCTGTGAATTTGCCTTTATGATCAAAGGCCAGGCCTCCCTAGGGGCCTGGTAAGGAACCACCCAGGCAAGGGAAAGAGCAAACTGCTGAGAATCACTAGCTGTGCATCCATAATTCCCACTCTTAATTCCTAGGGCCTACCAAGGTTCTATCCCTTCCCACAAATGTCAAAACTGTTATTTCTATCAAGGAAGGTTCTCAACGCCTGACACCACTGGCAAATACCTCTGCACTCTCCAACAGAACTTTCTGTGGTGTCAGAAATGTTCTACATCTGCTCTAATATGAAAGGCACTAGCCATTAGTGATTGACACGATGCTGGTGAGACCAAGGCTTAATTACCCTACCTTAAAAATAGCCACATGTGATTGGTGGCTACACTACCACACAGGGAAAGGTTAACTGTCTTCATCGTCATTTGAAGTCAGCAACCTCCTGTAGCTTTACATCAGGTGAGCCTCGATGCTTAGCACCTGGCCATGTCTTCTTACAGGAAAGCTCTGAGGTGAATTTTCGATCACACTATCTTGTCATTGATCTCTTAAAATGGTTTAATTCTAGTATGGGGACCAGAACTGAGCAGAGACAACCTTTTCTCTTCAGAGGCTGAGAGAGGGGTTCCTGACACCCTGTCTGAAAGGGGCAGCCCCACCCAGGCCGTGGCTTTGTCCAGGTCCAGCTCCTTGGACGCACTCTGCATCCCCTTCTGGCTTACTTTCACTTTACTCAGCATTTGCCAATCTGTGTGTCTTCTACGTTGTCTCATTTGGTGCGAGGAGCCCACTAGTGCTCAGTCCACCAAGTTGCCAGAAGCAGAAGTGGACTTTGATCTTTTCCAGTCTTAAGCAGACACCACCAGGGACGCCACCACCACCCCGATCACGTCCCCACTGAAGCAAACATAAAAGGACGTTCGGGAGAGGCCTTACCGCTTCACTTGGCCAGCAATGTCCTGACTCAGTTCTTTCATTCTTTCTTCTACTCTGTTCAAAAGCTGCAATGAAAAGTAAAGAAATCAATGGGCTTATAGAATAAGCTGGGGAAAAACGGCTCAGTTACAGGCCACGAGGTCGAGGCCGTGTTGACAAGAGCACTGAGGTGTTGGCAGAAACCCATGTCCACTGTCCTGCCCCTACCCCTGCACAGCCTCCAGGCCCAGCCTGGCCCCACACCAGCTAGTCTGCACGGTGCTGACCTGACCTAAAACTCAGTGTCAGCTACCGACACTAAGGTTAAAGGATACGGTGAAGGTGACATCCTGGTTAAAGGCTATGCTCCCCCCCGTGCAAAGTCAAGTCAGTACTGAGTACTCAAGCAGTCAAGGGAAAGGCGAGAGCTGGATCCTCACAACGGAGGAGCTAGTTTTCTTCTAGAATCACTTATCTGGAGGGAGGAAAGCTTAAATCTAGTTAACCGGTCAGTCAGTAATCAAATGAAGATAATCTTCTTCGACTAAGCACATTTTACACTCCTCTAACACTTGAGGAATTAAAAGTGAGGAACCAACACTTTCAACTTCTTCTTTGCCTTGCGCGTCACCCTCGTAGCTCTGAAGGTCCAGCAACACCAATCCATGTGGGTATATTCTCAAGTTGGCAAAGCTACAAAGGAAAGGGAAATCTTAAGGTTAGTGGTGGTGTCCTGGGACTCAAAAGAAAGTAAGAGGCCAACCCAACAAGAAAGAAAGATCGCTGCTTCTTCCCCTTTTGTTTTCGGTTTCGAGCCTTTTCTTTGGGAAAAGGACAATCAGTAATTTAGAGAAGAGTCAAATGCTAACTAAGGTTTTTAAAACAGGTTCTAGCGCCTAAGAAGTGACTCAGTAGCAAGTTCCATGCATCTGAGTTTTAAGAAGGCTCCCAAATCTGTGAGGCTGCCAGGGTTAGTAACCACTGCCCCACAGGCAGGGGAGGGAGGGCAGCAAAGGGCAAGTGAACGGAGTTCAGCTTAGAGGCTGTTTTCTGACTGCCAGCAGGTGGCAGCGCGACTCATTTTGTGCAGGGTCAGCCAAGCCAGGTCCTCCAGCCTGCAGCCCCAAAAATGGTTTTTACGTTTTTTAAGTATTGTTAAAAAAAAAAAAAAAACAGAATATGCGACCTTATGTGGTTCCTTGCATATAAGGTTTTCTGACCCCTAACTAGTGAACCTCACCAGCTTTTTTTGGATGAAATAAATGTGTTACAAGCAACAAGAGTTAGTAAGATATTTTGATTTATGTGTGTATTTGTATTGTACATAGCAGACATGCCTATACAGGGTTATGATATAAAACTATTCCTCACTATAAATTATGGCTGACAAAACAGCTGAAAAATACCAAATCAGAAGATAAATTTTGTTCAAGGAACACAGGCAGTGTGGTTGGACGAAACCAATATAACCAGTGTATTTTCACCTTTAGCCCTTCCATGGTGTCAAAATCAAGTTTAGGCTCAGGAACCCCCAACACTCATCTACACTGAATGAGCTGATCATCCCCCCTCCTCCTGCAGCACAAAAGAGAGGAGCCCCATGAAGGAAGGATAGAGAAATGGCGCCCCTTAACCGCTGGGTGGTCCTGAGAGTTCTCCCAGCAGAGTGGCACAGAACAGAGAATGCTGGGAGCTAAGGTCAAGTACTAACCTCTGGACGTGAAACCTGAATGAAAGACAAAAAGTTGTCAGAGGAAAAATGGAGGAAAAGAGTTGGGTGCGCCCCAGGACCATGACCTCAGCATCACAAGGAGCCATTAACTAGAAGTGGGGTGTGGGGTGGCAATCCTTCCCCCTGAGAGAGAGGGACCACTGAGCCTCTAGAATGGGTACCCTGGGGATGGGCTCCAGCTACTGAACAAGAAGAGGGAGACCAAGGTAGAAATGTCTTTAAACATGTTGACTTGTATTTCCTCTGCTTTCAGAAGCAACTTCCAAACACCTCTTGTCCGTCAAAAGCTCCCTTCAGGCAAGAACTCTCAGCCCTCTGGAGAACTGGAATGATGTGTAGGGTAGAAACTGCTCATGCACACGAGGCAGGGCTCACTGCAGAGGCCTTTAGGCCACACAGGCTTCGTCCGACCACAATGATATGGTCCACTTTCCTGTGGTCTCACGGACAGTGAGAGACAGGCAGAGAGGGTGGGGCAGAGGCCAGGACACAGAGGAGCTGGGCACGCACCTACAGCTCAGACTCAAGGGCAGCCACAGACCTCTCCAGTTACTTCTAGAGACCTGCCGTTAACTGGGCAAAGCATGGAGGAGGACAGAGTGCAGAGGAGGGTTTGCAGTTAGAGGTGATTTTGGGTCATCTTTGATGTAGTATAGATACATTGGAGGTGTCTGCTAAATATATATGGAGGTTTGCTATGTAGTTGCTAATACAACTCCCAGGTTGGGCAGTCTGATTGGCGTCGGGAGAGGGAACAATCACTACCAAAGGAGTGGACTGTGTAGACTGAGGCACAGAGTAACAGGAGGGGTGGTGGGCTCAGGAGCAAGTTTCCCTCATCTCTCAGCACTGTCTTCTGGGCCTCTGTAGGGCTGTGGCAGGGTGGTATCTTTTCTTTAAATGAAAAACGAGGCAGAAATACCGGGACATTAATGAACATACGTGGAACACTTGTACACACTGGGGCAAGGGATTGAAAGCCATGAAATATATCCAATTCACAATTCTAAATTCACAGTGCAAATATACCAAGAAACTTAGGCTTTGCATATTAAACCAGCCTAGATATAATACATAAAGCTCAGTGCATTCGTGTCTTCTGTTATTGGTCATTTCTTAATTTGGTTTTCTTTTCCTATTTTTAGAACACATTCATTTTCATCTACAAATTGACTGTAAAGATTATAGATACTCTATAATCTTAAGGAAAAAACCAACATCTGGGCCTCCCTGGTGGCACAGAGTCTAAAGACACAGCGCTATCAAGCTATCACCAGCCACTGCAATATGAGTTTGATCCCAGCCAGGGAGCTGACCCACATGGCACAGCAGACCTCTCCTGTCTTCCCACTGCTCCCCTCCGCAGTAGATTTCAGTAGACCTGCCTGTTCTGCTCCCCACTCTGTCTCTGGTGAACCTTCTTAACCCCCTGCACCTCTGCCCTGCACCCCAGTTCTTGTATGCATAAATAAATAAATCTTTTTTAAAAAAAGAGATTAAGAACAAGAAAAACCCTAACTTTGAATTCTTGGATCACCTAAGCTTTCTGGTGAGCTACTTGTGGATCGGATCTTCTTATTATCCAGCCTTTGACTGTGGTCTGCATTAGCTGATAAGCACTCAGCCCTGGGATAGCACTGTGCACTCATGCTCAGTGAACCAGCAGTATCAGCATCCCCTGTGAGTTTGTTGGAAATGCGATTTCAGGTGCTGCCAAGCCTACCACTTAAGAAACTCTTGGAGTGGGGCCCAGGAATCTGTGTTTTAATCAGCCTTGAATAGTGGCTTATGCTGCCCAAAGCTCTGGATTCTGACCACACAGTGCCATCACCTGAGGGGATCTGGAGAAATACTGATGCCCAGTGGCCTCCACCGCTGGGAGAGTACCCCAGCAGGAAATTCTGCAAAGTTCTCCGAGGTGATTCGAATGTGCTGTTGAAGCGAAAAGCACTCAATTCTAGCCCCCTCCCAAAAAAATGCTAAAGGGGGAAAAATATATATATACCTGAACATCCCCACCACCACCTTTTGTCCACCCCACCCCCTTCAGTGTGCACTTAAGACCAACTCACCTGCCATTTTTGTTTATGTAGGTTGCTAAGTAGCCATGGTCCTGCCAGGTGTGCACTGACTCTGTCATGCCCTGCTCCTGGAAAATGGACTGGAGACCTTTCAGAATGGTCTCTCCATCAGCTAGAGAACAGGGCAAGAAGGCAAGATGATTAGGATGAAAACATGTTTAGAAGGAAAGTCAACACGGCAGTTTAAGCACTGAACTTTACAAAAGAATCTCAACAGTCACCAGAGCCATTGACGCCTTGTCATGAGCTACATTCTCAACCCCACAAGGAAACCCTCAAGACATTAGCGGGCAATACAAGAACACACAACACAAGAACACGACTGACTGACCACGGGCTACTCTGTCAAGGAGTCAAAAGATGTTCAGCCAACTAGAGGTGGTGTGACAAGAGGTTCAGCCACTTAGAGGTGGCGTGACAAGAGGTTCAGCCTAACCAGAGGTCAGAGTAATGCAAATGTAATGACAGTCTGCTTTAGGGCTAGTTAATGAGGATCCAGAGTACTAGTAGAAAGCTGTCCACCCTCTGGTGATGGGTACTATCAATCACTTCTAATCTTTCAGCTTGAAGGCCCAGGTGTTGTACAGTAACAATGGGTTGCTTTTATCAGTGAAGAAAAAATGGTGCCTCAGTAACATGTTGCTCAACGGTAGGTACTGAACAACCTTGCACCCACAGAAACCCACTAGGCACTGTGATCCCCTCCTCAGTCTAGAAGTCAAACCCCCCCACACTGACCCCCACACCCCTTAAGGTGGCGCTCTGGTGTCCTCAGGTAGGACTCCAGCAGAGGTTCTAGAAGCTGCATTAACATTTGCCGGTTCACGTGAAATCAGAATCTTCGAAAACATCCAACATTAGCAATTAGAGAAAAGGCAAGATGCAATTTATTCTTTCCTAGTTATAGCTACAAAAGTCATTCCTTGAGAAGGGTTAAGATGAAGAACCAAAATGAGCCAAAACCCGCCCCAGCTGCACTCGACAAGCTGCTGCTTTTCCCACATGGCCGGACAATGCACCTGCCAAGAGTCGCATGGAAACATCCCTGTGACCTGAACCCAGACCAGGGAAGAACCCAAGATTCGCAGCTGACCACAGTGGCACTGCAACCCTTCCTATTGACTAAGTGATGCCAAAACTTGCACTGTAAGTTAAGGGTTTCTGTTTCATTTCACAAAGCCTATCTCCAGCGACACTGGGAACTGTCTCCCCAAGACCTCCTGCGCACAGTGAGAACAAAGGCCGCCGCGGTCCCAGTGCAGCTGGACCACAGGTGTGTCTTATTCTGGGGCTGCAGAGACTTCCTTAAGAAATGTGAGTTCATTGCCATTTAAAAACAAGGGGGGCCTCCCCTGGTGGCGTAGACGGTTGAGTACCACGCTATGGAGCTCTCTACAGCCTCTGCAGCGTGGGTTCGATCCTGGCCAGCTGGTGAGAATCCCGCATGGCGCGGCAGACCTCTCCTGTCTTGCCCGCTGCTCCTCTCAGCAGTGTATTTTAGTCAGTCTGCCTGTTCTGCTCCCCGATCTGTCTCCGGTGAATCCTCTCACTCTCCCGCACATCTGGCCTGTACTCTAGTTCTTGCATGCATGAATAATCTTTAAAAAACATAAAAATGGGGGCCTCCCTGGTGGCGCAGGCAGTTGAGTGCCACACTGTGAAGCTGTCCGCAGCCTCTGCAGTGCTGGTTCGATCCTGGCCGGCCAGCGAGGGTCCCACATGGCAAAGCAGACCTTTCCTGCCTTGCCTGCTGCTCCCTTCAGCAGTGTATTTCAGCAGATCTGCCTGTTCTGTTCCCTGCTCGGTCTCCAGTGAATCCTCTCACCCTCCCGCGCATCTGGCCTGTACCCCAGTTCTTGTATAAAAATAAATAAATCTTTAAAAATAAAAAAAATAAAAACAAGGGTCCCCCACCCTCCATGTGGTGGGTGGAATGGTGGCTCCCTTTAAGCAAGCATGTGCAAGTCCAACCACCCAGAACCTGGAGGCATGCCCTTATTCAGAAAAGGGGTTTTGCAGCTGTCATCAAGCAAAAAGACTCTAGAAAGGAGATCATCTCAGATTACCCAGGAAGGTCGTAAGTCTAATGACAGGTGTGCTTAAAAGAGACAAGCGAGCAGACACAGGGAAAAAGAGTAGCAGGGGACAAGAAAACAAAGGCAGTAGCTGGAGTGATGACAGCCACAAGCCAAGGAGCACTGGGCAGCGGAGACTGTGAGACTTGGGGCCTTGAGGGGGTGCTTGGCCCTGAACCCTTTGTTTTAAATCTTTGGAATCCTCAAACACAGAGTAGCTAGACAGCACAACTGATACTCACCATAACATTCAGACAAAACTTGATGACAGAGAGTACTCCCAAACCTCCAGAGCAGAGGACAGAGAAGCAGGTCACGGAGGAAGATGCGAGAAAAAGCAAAGGGACTGCAACCCCTCCATAAAACAACAAAAGAGGTTCCCCCAGGGACAGAGAAGAAGGAGGAAGCCGAGCAGCTGAAAATCACAGGGGCCCTGGGCCACCAGAGAGTCAAGTGGTGGGCAACCCGAGTGAACTGAGACCACCTCTGCAAAAAAGCCCCACATGGAGGAGGCAGAAGCCAACCACACACTAATCAACACCACAGGGACCCCCTGTCTCATTAGCAGCTGGCTCACTCCCAGCAGAAGTGTGCTTTGGAGACTCACTTGGCAGAAAATCGTCTGCCTGGCTTTGCTATATTCTGGCATTGGCTTCAGGGCATGAAAAGGGGGAAGCCTTAACCCCAGAACTATAATTTTAAGATGGAATTTCTCCCCCCCCAAAAAAAAAATCTGATTTGACCTTGATAAAAACACTGATCTTGTTTGGTTTGTGTTTGTTGATGAGGCCTGGTGGGGCCCAGCCTCCACCTGGTCAAGCTGTACACTGGTAAGGACGTGTGCCCCCACAGATCACCCCAACAGGAAAGGCCCTGGGTCATCATTCAAGCCCTCCTTGGCTAGAGAATACATCTTCTGTTTTGAAGTGCATAAAACAAATCATCACTCCTGGTAAATCGCCTCAAGACGGGCACTGCGAGCACATTACGAAACAACACAAATCCCCCGTGCTGGCAAGGGGACAATCCACACAAGGCCACCCTGCGCGTCACCGGCCAGGCTCTGCAGTGAATGAGGCCCCTCAGCACTGAGACTGAGCTGGGGCAAACTCCGTCCCTTGGGCCAGGGAGAGGGGTTGTCTTTGTCTGCTACACACAAAGCCCTTGACTGCTGGCCAAGCCAGCCCAGCATGGCAAACCCCCCCCCACCCCCTTTCTAACCAACACAATGAGCAGAAGGCACTGGGCGAGCTAATGGAGGCCCCTCCAGCCAGGCTTCAAACTGAAGAAAAATACATTACAAAAGAAATCCAATTTGAGCCCAATTTGAAGTGTTCCTTGTTTCTATACTCTGGACGTACACGCTCCAGCCAAGCTCAGTAGAAATCCACCAGGTCTGCAGAACTTTCCTGGCCGTCGCCACTGCGTAGTCCCTGAGGGCACTGAGTGTCAGCACTGCTGGGATTCTGGGACTGTGCCACTTTGCCAAGTGTCCACTTCATTTTTCTATTTGCCTTCCTCCTGCCCTGGGGACTAGCCTTGTCATCCACACTGCTGCAGAAAGAGGCACTGGAGCCGAAACAGTGCCCACCCCCCCTCCTTTTTTTTCAGAATCAGGGTAAAAACATGAGCTTCAGCTTCACTGAGCTTAACAAGGTGGCCTGCTTGGCCAACTAGCTCTCAGGTGCTCGATGTCTGTGTATAAATGCAAATTTATTTTATTCAGCTAAATGGATCATCCTTATTACTGTATCTTTGCAGTTTCCAGAATATCTAAATGAGTGGTTTTCACTCCTAGTTGCACATTATAATCAGTATCTGGGGAGTATGTCAAATTTGGATGCCACATCTTAGACCAACTAAATAAAAATCTGGGGGTGAGACCCAGGTATCAAGCGTTTTTTAAAGCTTTCTGGGGAATTCTATGGCACCTCAGTTGAGAACCACTGATCTAAACCATTAGACACAAAAAAGAAAAACAATTCCCCCTCTACTATCTCCAAACTGATTACCAAAAGGGTATAGAAAATGTTTGACCGAATGAAGTCCAAACTCCATATTAAGCATAGCCACAGGTAACCCATGACATGCCCAGAAGATACTTTGTAATTAATATCCAACTTCTCCCTTCATGTATGTCTAGTAAGAAGCACATGACACACACGTCCAAACAAGATGTCCTCCTTTCTATCAAGTTCCCTCAAGTGAAGCTGACAATACGGTGTGAAGGACTGTCTGTCCCTCACAGCACTTTGGCAATTACAGTCATACTGGCTACAAATGTGAGTAGGGTTGGGCCTCCCTGGTGGCGTAGGTGGTTGAGCGCCACACCGTGAAGCTGTCCGCAGCCTCTGCAGCACGGGTTCGATCCCAGCTGGCCTGCAAAAATCCCACATGGCATGGCAGACCTCTCCTGTCTCGCCCGCTGCTCCCCTCAGCAGTGTATTTCGTCAGTCTGCCTGTTCTGTTCCCCACTCTGTCTCTGGTGAATCCTCTCACCCTCCTGCACATCTGGCCTGTACCCTGGTTCTTGTATAAATAAATAAATCTTTAAAAAAAAATTTGAGTAGGGTTATCCCCTCACCCCCATCAAAAAAAAGACTCCATACTCCAACTGCCCAGAGGCAGACAGGAAGAGTGGGCAACAGAGTTCCCTGAGAATGACTAGACACTCTAACACGTGGAGAAATGAGCCTGGGGTCAGAGCACAGCCAAGCTTAGGAACACAGACAGCAATGTCAGCAGTGTCCACAAATCACAACATTTGAAAGTAGACTCAAAAGTTAAAAGAGATTAATAACCATCCGGCTTCTAAGCAAAAATGGTGGTGCGAATTAGGCTGGTAAAACACTTGCCAAAAGTTCTTAGAAAGCCGGCCAGGCAAGAATGATGTGAAACTTGTGTATCATCCTTCAGAGTCTTCCAATGTGGTCACAAACACAGAGACCAGGGCAAAATATGTCCTTTTGTCCACCTGGCAACTCAATGTCTGTTTCCAGACCACTGCCTGCTTGCTGTGTGAGCAACAGTTTTAAAA